GGTCATGCACATACTCACATTGGACTGGGGCTGGGTCGAGTCAAATCTGATGAAAATACTCATCCTGGATTGTATCCATCCATCGTGGTTCGGTCTTCGGCCAGGGAGAGACATGGATAGAGTAGTCGGATTGGAGGTTAATTGGACGGAGCGGGTGGGAGGGAGGCCAGCAGGTTCAACTAGTACTTTCCCTGGACCGACTCTCTCATCCTTATTAGTAGTTGTGACTTGAGTCTTGTGTCTTCACCTTTCACACAATTCACAAATCACAATATTTTGTGGGATTTTCCGTTTGAGCGCTAGCGCTGGGAAATCTCATTCATACCCACTAGACACGATACATAAAATTGTGTGAAAAAGGAATGAATGATGATGGAATATATCTACGTCTATATAAGTAGTGAGTGGGGCTTTTTTTTTTCTTTGCTCCAAAAGAGATTCAAACTGACCCATTCACAGAAAGTAAGATTTGACGTGACATCCATCGAATGCATGAACGAGCAATCCAGTTCCAGTTCTTCCGTTTAGCTACTATGAATTCATCAACGTCAGTGATCGATGGATCAGTCTTATTAATTGTTGGCTTAAGGTTAATGCATGTCTTCTAAGTTCTTTTACTTGAGCTGAAAAAGACATACTACTAATAACTCCATGTTGATTTGTGTATTTGGGTTGCGATTTGCGAGGCCGAGTTCGTCTGGTTTGCAATCAGAATGGTCTATTTTTTGGTTCAGATAGAAGTGAAAACTGGAATTGAAATAAACCGGAATGGGATTCTCATTCTCAAGGCTGTGTTTGGAAACAATGCAAATGGATTGTAAATTTCGGTTTAAGGTAAATTTGCACTCTGTTTCATTTTTGTCTGTATTTGACAACATTATATTTATGCATTGATAAATGACAAAAAATACATTTTCTAATGTATATTTATATTGATAATAAGATGTAAAAGTACATCAATAAAAAAGACGTTAGTTTGATTTCAAGTAGGATTTTGATAAAAAAAAATTCATTATAACTAAAAATCTATTTAATAAAAAGATATATTTGTCATTGCAAAATTAACCCAATTTTATAATTTATATGAACCATTTTATACTCTATTCACAAGGAGTGAATGACTATTCCTTCAATTGGACAATACCATTCCATCAAAAATGGGAAGGGGCCGGATTTCAATTCCAACCAACCTAATATAATTGGAATCAGCCATTCCAATTTGGATTCCAGACTCTTTCCAGTTAACCAAATAAACCCTCAAATTTTTAAACATATTGCAAGTAAGGTTGGGTAACTTGGGTTAACAGGAAGATGAGTTGAGTAATTGTATTAAAATGATCTTTGCAGCCCATGTTTAATAAATATTATTAAAAGAAATTAAGTAATAAGTACTATGCAATTAGTGAGTGTTGCAGTGGATGCTCACTAAACGACACGCAGCCCAGAGTGTAATGTTGATGTATAATGTAATATACATGTAATGCTCAATGTTCAAACGATTAGACAGCCCGATTCTTTTTCTTTGAACCAATCCAAAACATCTAAAAAACCGTGGGTTCAGGTGTTGGTATTGTATTGGGTTAAATCAACAATAGTTCCTATTGCTTTTATCCTGTCCCAACCCATGAACCAATGTTAAACTTGGTCCATGATCCAGATAATTAAGACATTAATTATTCCAAACATCCCTAATTAATAACTAGACCAATTGGATAGTTGGTTCTAAAATCCAAATCGAATGTTGTTGTTGTGGGTGACCCGGTCCCGGGTTGATCTCATCGCCCAATGTTATCAATTACCAGGCCCTGCAACTGAGCAAAGCCATCCTGGAATGGAGATCGGAGGCGACAGTAAAACAAATACATGTGGTTAGGATTTAGAAATTTCCGAAGTTTCATGTTTCTCTCTCTCTCTCTCTCTGGTATTATCATTTCTTTGCTTGTACTCTAAATTAATACAATACATCCATCGTCGTCGTCATCATCATCATCAACCCAGGGACCACTCAATTTGTTGTAACGTGCTTGTCTTTTTCATTTTCGCTTTCCTGGTTAATATCACCAGTTTTCTGGCTTCCGGCTTCCCCAAATTCAAATGAAGCGGACGCGCAACTCTAGTTTTCAACCTTTTAACTCTTTAAGAGTGAGAGAACGAGGTATATACACGTCGTCCGTCAATCCGGGATAAGACGACAGTAGATAAAAAGTCAAGCAGTAAATTGGTTGGTGGGACCCACGGAAACAGGCATCCACTTGATGTGTCTCTCCTCCCCACCTGAGGAGTGAGGAGTGAGGAGTGAGGAGCGAGGAGAACTGGAGTCTGGAGACGAGACGACAGCTCAGGACTCGGGACTCGGGGGGCTGCCCTGTTTGGAGTATAGATTTGTTTATCCCCCTAATTCTCCAAGGCTGAAGCCTGAAGTTCGTCACCACTTCGCAGTTGGATTAGAGGCCGGAATTATTTACATCTTTTCGCTTTAGGAAACAACGACGCAAAGCTCAAGCACTTTTCCCATGTTATATTACATTATTACAAGATATATGTATATAATATCTTATAATAATTAAAGTATAAATAAAGAAAGAAGAGAAAAAAAAAAAAAACAAACAATGGGGATGAGTGGGGGAAGAGATAAAATAAGCAGTGTGATGAAGAAACTGTCTTGGAGTAAAGCAACATCCTACCCACCGACGTATGGAGAGTTGGAGACGTCTTTGCTTTGCTCCAACAAATAATAGACAAGGAATAATACAATGATAAAAATAGCAGGGGTGACTGAAGAGTGTTGACTCCACCGTCCACCGTACCGAATTACCCATACCGTTAATGATAGAGATGTTATGTTTCAACTTTCAACTTTGAAGCGCTCTAGAAATTTGCTTTTTAATTAGTTGTTACCATTGTCTCGGACCCATCAACAATCCACGCTCTCATCGCTCATCATCCCTTTTAAATGTACGGATTCGACTATGGTGCCGGAGAGATATGATATGATACCGGAAAAATTATAAAACAGTGATTTCATTAAATCTATCTAACTATTTCTATTTGCTAGTTGGATTATGCCCATATTATATAATTGAAAGTGCACATTTACCCTTATCTAATTCTTCAAGGAAGAAGAAAGGGTCCTTAGATGGTCCACAAATGTTTAAGAGGTATGGTGTTATAGTCAAACAGTAAGAATACGTCAAGTATCATAAAAAATTAGAAATATTGACAAAGAATTATGTTGTTATAGTCAAACAGTACCCATATGGACCATCTTTTGTAATGGTTTCACATGGAAGTTCCCTCGCAAATGCTACAGTAAAGTCTAACTTTTCTAGACTATACCATAAAACCAACTTCCATGAGTCATACGCCCAATCAATTTAGTAAGTTGCCCACTTAGGTCTTGTTCGTTTTTCAGTAAGTTATTTATCAGGGTAAATGGAATTATTTGGGTAAGTTTTTCTTGGGAAACACTTTGGCAAGTGCATTTACTCATTTTCTTTAACTTCTCATGTAAATAAAGTAATGACTATTTTAGTCATAAAAACCTATTTATTAAAAGAAACATTTTTGTCCCATTCAAATGTTGACAACTTCTCCCTAAGTGGGAAAGTTATTTACCCGCCTAGGAAAGTAATACCCAGGAAAATAAACTTTCCCTAGTCCCCACAAATCTGAAAAAAGAAAATCGAATTCTTGGTCAATGGGAACTAAAATCCCATTGACCAACTTTCCCCCCTCTCAAAATCCAAAAAAAAAACACCCCCTTAGTGAGTCATATCACCGTGCCTGGTAAGGTATTCTATCAAATCAAACAAAAAAAAAACCCAAACACAACTTAAATTAATAGGATGGGCTATGGGACAAGGATTCCTGCCCAAAACGAGATCTCTTCGAAGGAATTAAATCTCCTTTTCTACATTTATTTACACTAAGGGGACAATCTTTTTTCAGATTTTGAGATGGGAAAGTTGGTCAATGGGATTTTAATTCCCATTGATCAAGAAACCCATGTTTTTTGATCGGATTTATGTGAGGACCAGGAAAAGTTTATTTACCCAGATAAGCGATACCCATCTCCTATAGGTGGGTAAATAACTTTCCCACTAGAGTGAAAAGTTGCCAACACTTGAATGGAACAAAAATGTCCCTTTTAATAATGAATTTTTAATTGTTTATAACTAAAATGGTCATTACCTTCATAGAAAATAAAAAAAGGGTTAATACACTTAACAATTACCTAGATAAATGCATTTATCTGAATAAATAACTTACTGAAAAAGGAATGGGGCGTAAATAAATTATCATTATAATTAGGGTTGTAAATTGAATTGGCCTAACTTACATCTTATATTATTAGAGATGGCAATTTGATTTGCCCTTAATCAAGGTGGACTTTCTAACCACTTATCAAGTTTAGGACAACCCAAAACTAACAAGGTAGGGTGTCTTGAACAAATTTATTTTAGGGGGTTTTATTGTTCAGTCCACCCCTAAAAATGGTCGATGTTAAATCCATGAATAGGATGAAGGGGGGGGGGCTATTAGTAGACTATGAGGGGGCTGTAATTTCAAACTTAGGGACTCGCTTTTTTAACCATGTAAGTATATTTACCCATATTCTTTTATTTTCTAAGTAAATAAAATGACTATTTTAACCATAAAAATCTATTATTAAATGGGACATTTTTGTCCCACTCAAGTGTTGGAATTTTTCCTACAAGTGGAAAAATTATTTATCCACCTAGGAAATAGGTCAACAAAAATAATTTTCTTAATCCTCACATTAATATAAAAAAATAACATAAAATTTTTTATCAATATAAACCAAAATCCCATTAACCAACTTTCTCCTTTCAAAAAAACGCCCCTTAATACATACTATTTGCTTCAACTTCCAACAGGTCAAAGGAACAGCCACCGAGCAGGTGATAATGGAGAAAGGAAAGAATTAATAAAAAAAGCGAAAAGAAACTAGCTATTGTCGTCAAATAAAGACCAAAGACGGAAGACCTCTTTCTCTCTCTCTCCGTCCCTGTCCGTAACACATATTCTCTCTCCTCCTCCTCACTCTCAGTCCTCACATGTAAGTGTGAACCAGAGGAACGGCAACGGAAAAAAAAAGAAAAAAAAAACAGATCTTTCTCTCTCCTTTTTCTAATCTTCTAAACGAGGGAAAGAAGGAATTCAATGGGGTTCTGATTCTGAAAACTAAAAGATTTCTTACACCATTAGATAGAGAAATTGATAGACAGAGAAAGATAGAGACAGGAGAAGGAGAAGAGAAAGCGAGAGAGATGGGAGGAGTGACTTCGTCCATGGCGGCCAAGTTCGCATTCTTCCCACCCAATCCTCCTTCTTACAAGGTAATTGCAGACGAAGTCACTGGTCTCTTGATTCTGAGCCCCTTCCCTCACCGTGAGAACGTCGATGTTCTCAAATTGCCCACTCGTCGTGGCACTGAGATTATGGCCATCTACGTTCGACATCCCATGGCGACCTCTACTGTCCTCTACTCTCATGGCAACGCCGCCGATCTCGGCCAGATGTATGAGCTCTTCATCGAATTGAGTATCCATCTGGGAGTCAATCTCATGGGGTACTATCTTCTACTACTTGTCCTCTTTCTGTCTAAGAAATTTCGTTGCTTTTTTTAATTGTTCGGTTGTTGTACCATCTGGGTTTTGATTTTGCAAGCTATTGATTTATTGGAGAGAGCGTGTTATAGTAAAATTCTGGTCAGCTCAGCTATTTCCGGTTTAGGTTCTACTGGTAATTTTCCCCTTTTGTTCCAAAACATCCTGGAAGCTGTTAAATGGAAGGCGTACTGGATTGCAGGTGAATTGAGCTAATGTCCATCTTGATTCATCTAATTAAACGCTTCAGACAAAGAATGGTGTTAATGTTGGTCCTTCCGGAAAAGGAAAAAAGAACATCAAAAGAAGAAATAGTATTAGAAGAAGATTCTTGGTTTCGGAGTATATACCACCTAATAACCATGTACATATTTACATTATATTTTTATTAGAGAATATTCTAGGTTGGACTTCATAGTTATCTAGTGAATTTAAATCTACCTACTTAGTATCTATGGATAGATCTATCGATCTTCTATGTTAGTGATTGAACCAAGATGAAGTTACTTTTTTTCCACTTTATTATATAGCCAGTTATTGCAGTTGGACTTTGTTGAGAAAAGAGATTCTACCAAAGGGATATGAAGAAGATGGGAACTTAGACAGTTTTACATGGTTAGGATTTATAGCTCAATTTGTTACAAGGGAATCGGTTGAGATTCTTCTATCTACATATAAAAATGGGTTTTGATTCAATGAAGGGTCTCCTACTTGAAGTGATGGTGCTATTTTGAAGTCGGATCTCATTACATTTAACAACCATAACCCACGTTTATTGGTATGGTTCCAATCTTGCACGAATCTAACCTCATGGCATTAATCTGTTTTTGGATCTTGAACCACGAGGAATTTGGAAGATTTCTGATGCATTTCCAATTTTATGCAGATATGACTATTCTGGGTATGGACAATCATCTGGGAAGGTTAGTTTCAGGTTTATTTTTTCTTGAAAAGAATCTCTTCATTCTTTCTCATTGGAAGAAAATGAAAAAAATATATTTATGTAGTATGTTTGATGTAAATTGACATTACCTGAGGACAACCTCTGATTAAGTGTTTTATGCTCTGTAGCCAAGTGAGCAGAATACCTATGCAGATATAGAAGCTGCCTATAAGTACCTTGAAGAGAATTACGGTGCTAAGCAAGAAGATATTATCCTCTATGGCCAATCTGTTGGAAGTGGCCCAACTTTAGATCTTGCAGCTCGTTTGCCTCAATTAAGAGCTGTTGTTCTGCATAGTCCTATACTTTCAGGCTTAAGAGTCATGTACCCTGTGAAACGCACATACTGGTTTGACATCTATAAGGTTACATTTTTTCTTCTCCATGACATTTAACAGAGATTGTAACTCAATATCATTGCATCTGGAGTTTGACAATTGGTTCTCTTCGTCCTGTGCAGAACATTGACAAAATTCCACTGGTTAACTGTCCTGTATTGATCATTCATGTAAGTCCTGGTTTTCTCTTCACTTGACAATTACAATTAGTGATTACCAATCACATGATGGCTTATTCAAGTTACTTATATGAAGCTTGCTTGGACTAGCCTTAAGTAATTCCATGTGATTGAGGTGCAGTAGCCTCTTATACTTAATTTGAATGTTATTTTTGAGACAAACAAATCTGATTTAATATGAAGAAATTAAGAATTTAAAGGAGGAATAATGAGACAACGATTCTACCCATGCTATACGTTGTTCCTATCCTAAGATGTATCAATATGGATATGTTAACAAGTACATGTCTCCCCATCACTCAAGACCGATGGCATGTATAACGACATAATTCAAATCAACAAAACCTTCTCCCAATTATATGGGGTTGGCTACATGTATCCTGTTTCACCATTCAACTCTATTGAGGGCTATATGCTGATATGACTATCCCATTCAATATGTTGGTAGCGTGCTTTTTTTTTGATTTCTTAAGCTAAGTATCATTTTTGAGTAATTGAGTTTTGCTAATTTTACTGAAACTTCTGACATCTACAAATACTTTATAGTATGATTCTTTCAAGAGTTTGACTATGATGCTGGTATCATGTCTTTCCTGCATCATATTTTTTTTCCTTATTTAAAAAGTGCTATTTATATATCTTGGTTCATGCTGTGAAGTATACTGTGAAACATCTAAAACTGGACTGCACACTAAACCATGATGGAGAGAGATGGTTTAGTTCACCGGGTCCAACTTTGGTCAATTGGTTGCACTGATAATATTGGTACCAAGTTCATATAACCTATTATAGCTGTATCATATATATTGGTGCCAATCACTGAACTAGTAATATAGATAAAACCCCTACCTTCCATGATCCCAAACAAAACACTCCCCTTTCTTTGTTTCCTTCTTTCTCTCCTTTTCTCTATCATTCTCTTTCCTCTTCCTTCTCCTCCTCTCATCACTGAATTAGTAACATATTAACATATATTTCGGTGAAAATCATCTGCCATTACATGATGATGGCCCCAGCTATTTGGGGTCTTGGGAGAGGTGAACTAGATATGAACTTAACCTCTGGCATGTTTTTACATGGAGTGACTGCTTTCTGACTAGAACCTGATTTACGTCTGAAGTGACACCTCTAATTTCATCCAATTCTTTCTTTTTATTTAATCCCATTTCATCATCATCTAAGCCCTGTCCCAACTACATGGGTTGGATACATGAATCTTGTTTCACCATTCCATTTTATTCAGTGACATATCCATAGTTAAAGTATAAGTAGTAAGACTTATCTTACTACTTTCTCTGGCACCTTGAATCCATAGTTAAAGTATAAGTAGTAAGACTTCAATCCATGTCCTTTTTGGTCTGCCCCTAGCTCTTCTGGCACCTTCAATTTACAATAGATCTCTTCTTACAAGTTCTGTAGATGGTCTTCTTTGCTAGAGTCTACTTTCTCTCATTTTATCACCTATTGGAGCTATTCGTAAGAATCTTTCTAGTTTTTCCATTCATCCATCTCAGCATTCACATTTTTGTCACATACAATTTTTGGACATGTTTCTTGGCTGCCCAGTGTTCAACGTTCTACTCCATACAACATTGCTGGCCTTACAACTGTTTTATAGAACTTTTCTTTTAGCCTAAGTGGTATTTTCCTATCACATAAGACTCCAGATGCACCATTCCATTTTGTCCATCATTTTCTAATTCTATGGACAACATCCTCCTCAATCTTTGCCTTGTTATGAATAATTGAATGAGGTAATGGAGGAGGTCACTTTGAGTTATCTCTTGGTGTCCAATCCCACTAAGTGTACTCTAATTTGCACTCCTGTTAATATTAAATTTGCATAACATATTTTTTTGTTTTAGTACTACTTATTTTAAAACCTTTTTGATGGAGGGAGATTTGACCCAACTCCTTGGCCATGCGACACGTGGAAGCAACCGAGAGTAACCTGGTAGAAGCGCCAACTCGGCACGGTAGCGGGCCCACAACCCGAGCTCTAAGAAAAAGAGTCCCGAGCTCCCCCAAAGGGGGAACCTACAACCCGAGCTCCGAGCTCCCCAAGGAGGAACCCGAGCTCTCCCTTCGAGGTCCTGAGCCTGAGCCTTACAAGGAGCACAAAAGGCAAAAAACTCGAACTGCCCACCCAGGGGCAGTTCGGGCCACACTTCTATCCGAACTCAAGACCACCTTGCACACCACTTCGGCTCCAAGTTGCCTGATTGAAAAACCGTACTTGACGCCCAGGAAGCCCGTACACGGAGGCGGTGCACCTGACTGATTAGGGGTCCGACACATGACAGTCGCCCGCTAACAGCCACCTGCCACCGCCATCTCAGACGTGGCAGAGACGGCCCTGACAAGGAACAGTGGAGGTTATGACACCCGAACTGGCAACTGGCAACTGGCAGAGGAAATGACACCCGATCCGGCGGAGGTAATGATACCCGAACTGGCAGAGGTATGGAAGTAAGTGTACAGGGTGATTATAAAAGACCCCCATCTCCCAAGGAAGGAGGTATGTGATTCTTGCGCTTTCTGGTCTTGAAGTTCTTCATTTCCCTTGCCTTCTCAAGAGCACTAACTTGAGCTTCGGAGTGTTCCAACCGGGTTCCTCCCCGGAAGTCTCCAAGTTCTTCCTTGTTTCAGGCACCTCTGATTCCATCAGAGGTGAGGTAACCGATAGCTAGGATCGACCGGATTGCGCATCATCATTTGGCGCTGTCTGTGGGAAACTTTCAAAAAGCCTCCCCTATCCTTTAACCCTCTCTCTCAAAGAAACCTTAGCTTCCATGGCTTCCTCCAACAGCAACAGGCACAACGCCGACTTGAATGCTGTAGGGGAACACCCTCAGCCCGCCACTGTATGCATCGGACAATTCACCGTCTCCCTCTCGACGAACGGAATCCCTATCCTCAATGCACCAAGCATGGTGGCACCTGTGAATGTTCTCCTTCCCCTCTCTATTGAGACAACTTTCGCCGAACCCACTGTTGTCCCCCTAGCGACTAGCCAAAACCAGTTCAATGACTTGATGCAGTGCATGCGAGCAATGCAAGCCCAAATGCAGCAATTCCAGCAACATCAGCTCCATCAGCAACAAGTACTGCACCACATTTCTCAGTATCACTATCAACAGCAGTTCCCCCAACTGCCTCTGAACCAACCACAACTCCCACCTCGGCACCCTTCTCCGAAGCTGGTCAAGCCCTCCCCTCAGGGCGGGCGCCTTCACCAAGGAGGAGCCTCTCAACTCCAGGACCCCTCCAAGAGCCAGGCCTCATCCTCGGGTAGGAGGGAAAGACTAATCACCCCCGCCTCGCAGCTCGCTGGCGGATCGGGAACCTCCTTGCCAGTCAAGTCAGCACCTCGGCACTCTAAGTTCGAGCTCCCGCTCACAGAGAACCAGTTTGGCGTCCTGGCAGCGGACTACCAGCAGTCTGGGCCAATCAACCTCGGCAACACCGAGGCAAGTAGCGCCAACACCAGGCCCTCTAAGCAGCAGCGAAGACGCCGGCGAAGTCGCCGAACTACCACCCGCATCCTGCCCGAGCTCCGAGGTAAAGAAGAAACAAGCTCGGATGAGGTAAAAGTTGCCCCTATTCTTTCAATCCCTTCCCCCCTGTCATCAGAACTCCT